GAAAAATAATCCGGATTTTAGTGAACTTTTCTTGCATTGAAGCCGGGTGGAAGGGGAAGGGAGAGCAGACCGTTTTCACAGAGGAGGCTCTGAGACGTCCGGTCTCCTGCCCAGAGAGAGCCCACGCGTGCCCCTCGTTCACGCGCGGGGCGAGGGTGCCGGAGGGAACTAGCAGGCACAATTCAGCGTGTGGCTATTTAGTGGAAGCCCGAGCGCAGAAGATGCTCTTTAGGTGGCTCTGCAGTAAGAAAAGTCCTTGGGTCTGTCAAGAGTGACACGACGGGATTATCCTCAAACCTAGCGGGTTCATCTTCAGAAGTGGCCGTGAAACAAAACGCGGAGCGTGTCCGTGGAACTGCGCTGTGCCCGGCTCTGCTGGAACCCCTGCTGTCCTGTGAGACACTGTGGGATGGGGGTTATTGTCCCAGCATCCAAACAAAACGCGGAGCGTGTCCGTGGAACTCTGCTGTGCCCGGCTCTGCTGGAGCCCCTGCTGCCCTGTGAGACACTGGGATGGGGGCTATTGTCCCAGCATCTCCATTCAGGGCTTTCTGAGGACCCAGCAGTAAAGCTCATGGAAAACACACACACACACACCGCAGTTGGGCATTACTTGCACACCCCGCAGTTGGGCATTACTTCTGAGGAGACCATTGCTGTGCAAGGCATTTGTACCGGCAGTGTTACAAGAATGCTTTTTTTGGTGTGAAGTGCACATGTGTGAGGGAGAGAGATCAACCCACCACACCTGCACACCTTAAATGGGATGCACTCTTTAGTCAGTGCAGGTTCTCCATCTGACTTTCAGAAATGCCAAGAATACCAAATCAGAGTTTCTTGACATTCCTAGCATTTCTCAAATTCAGATGGAGAACCTGCACTGACTAAAAAGTGCATCCCATTTAACGGGTGGCGGGGATCAGTCTTTTCCTCACATGTGTGCCCCACACCCCAAAAGCATTCTCAAACACTTAAACCCGCACAAGTGCCTTTCACAGCACTGGCCTCAGAAGTAATGCCCAACTGTGAGGGTTCCATGAGCTTTAATGATGGGTTCTCCTAAAGCCCTGGATTGTGATTTAGAAGTGTAGTCCCCACGGAAGTGGGGTGGGTGGGTAAGAGTTAAATTAGGGAGGAGAAACTCTGTTGCAACTCCCCACTCTTTGATTCTGTTCCCCCAATGTTATAATGAATGTGTGATTGATTTCTAAGTGATAATAATATTGTTCTTCTTTCTCTTTCTTTCCTTTTATTTATTTATTTTGGTTGCTCAGAACTATGTACCCACTGTGTTTGAGAATTACACAGCTAGTTTTGAAATAGACACACAGAGGATAGAACTCAGCCTCTGGGATACTTCTGGTAAGGGATCTGCTGCTTAACTGGAATGCCTGTTTTGTTTCCATATCGTTCTGGTGACTCATCCGGATTTTGTGCAATGACTGTAAACCATGGCTAAAACCTCTGTTAACACCCTGGCAAAACTATGTCCTTCCTTAAGTGTTTTTCCTTTTAAAAAAAGATTTCCGCCTACAATGCTGTTGAACGCAGTGACTCTTCTCATCTTTCCTTCCCTCTTTAATATAAAGCTATTTCTGTGTCATGATGATTGCTCTAGTGGTGTTTACCTGACTTCCCCCTCCCCTTCCTTGTTCTGACTCTTAAAACGTTCATGTGCTAATTAGCTGAGCAGATGGGATAAGGTTATTATGGCCTATCGTGAGTCTTTCATTTTAATATTTGCCACCACTGCTGCGAAAGTCAGCGTGTGTTCTCCTTTTGGTAATATATGATTATACAGAAACAAGAAGATTAGTAAGTACACAAATGCCTGAATATGTCAAGAGTACTGTAACATATACATAGCTCCAGTCCTCTCCATGTAGATTATTGAAGACTTCCTCCTGTGTTTCTCTCCGGTTTCGGTGGTGGTGTGCATTTATGGGAAGACGTTCACTGAATGTGATCAGTCCCAGTGGGCCTAAGGAGGAGAGTAAAGTTACTTGTGTGCTTAGGCCACTGGAAGGGTTTGGCTGTAAAACAAGCAGGTGGTGAGAGAGCTTTTAAAGCCAAGCATGACAAGATGACAGAATTTCGACAAGAAAAACAAACAAAACAAAAAAATCCAAAACCAAACATGACATGGCACTTCAAGGACTAACTGTTATATTTTAACGTAAGCTTTCATGGAACATTATCCACTTCTTCAGACATAATAATTTGGAATATAGAGTCTACATAGCAAAACATCCTTGCAAGGCTCTAAAAGACCACGATATTTGGTTGCATTTCACACCAAGCAATGATTTATTACTTCTGTTTGGTATTTGGTTCTTTTGAAGTCTGGTTCTATAAACAGCATGATTAACAGAAGCAAAAGAGCAACTGCATGTGGTAATGTAGAGAATGGCAGACTTTACCTTCAATCCTTGTTCTGGAAAGATGGATTTGATAGTTGTGAAGGAAAATAACAGCAAATAATGTAATTATTACATTTGGCAATGACTTAAGAAATCTTGGCTGATGTTTAATCCATTGATATGGGTGTCTAGGATGTGTGTAGATTTTATCTCAACTGATAACAGAAGTATGTATGTTTGTTGTTTTACAAAGAGAAGGGAAGGTTCTTTATGTCCATGATAGGAAACACCATCCATGCATGGAGGCAAGTATAATTAGATACTGTTGAATAATTAAATGCCATGGTGGGCAGATAATCTTTAGTGGTTGGTGACTGAATGATAGACCTGCAAAAATGTGTTGACTTCTTATTTCAGCAGCAGCAAGAAAAACAAAGCATAAGCCTCCCCCACCCTAAGATAGGCATAGAATTCTTGGTTTGTTGCAACTTATGTAATTCCAGTTGCAGAACACAGTCAATAATTGGTGCATCAACTTTTGGAGCCTCTATTTTGGACGCTATTCCAATTGGAAGTTGACATCTTAGTGGAGAATTAGTGAAGGTTTAATAAAGCTGGAGTTTGCCCACGTTTGAGTACAAAATTAGAAATATATCAAGGTGCCCATCAATCTGTGTAGCTCAGTGTTGACTCTGAGCAACGTGGGGCCTTTCCTGTGATGTTGAATCACTCATCAAGCCTAGCTAGTATAGCTAAGGGGAAGGAATGATGGGACTTGTGATCCAGTGGCATCTAGAAGATCACATGTTTCCATTCCCTGGAGTGTCTGTCCTGAGAATGCATTTCCAAGCTTTCAGACCATTTGTTCCAAGCCCTGTCTGGAGATGGGAACTTCTGTATACAAAGCATAGACTCTGCTACTGAGAAATAAGCCTTAATTTCCCCTTTCCTTTAATTGTTTGGCCTACTGCACTGGAGATGATTGCTGTGGCTTGTGTGTGTGTTTGCATGCTTTATTGTACTATTTATCATCCATTGCTTGTCAGTCCCATATTTTCCCCTTCAGGACTTCTTTTGCCTTTCCTGTAGGAAGTACTGTGATGTAACACAGTATTTCCTACATACGATAGTTGCTGTCCTGTGAAACACCCTCTCTCCTAAGGCAAAAGCAATAAGATGGAAAAACAAATCAAAAGATGCAGCTTGTCAGTGGGAAGGGAGATAGGTTTGAAATAAGGAGAAAGGAAGATAACCAAGGTCTGTTATCTCTGAAAGGGTGCCTTCCAGAGGCCGAGCCATGAAAAAGTTGGCACCATTTAGCAGTAAGGGCTTCACAACTGGAGGAACACATGTAGTCAAGCGCAGCATTACACAGAATATCCAGAAAGGACTTCTGTCAGGACGCTGTAAAATCAGTGGCTTATAGCTCGCAGATATTCTGGCAAGGCCACCGAGGGCCCCACTGACATTATCTCAGGCACCAGTTCTGGGCGAGTAACGTTTCAGATGAAAATGAGTTAATAGCAGAAATGAGTGAGGCGAGATAACGTGAAAGGCTGTATCATCTAAAGCCCAGCTGGATAAGAATCAGGTTGTTTTCTGACTGCCGGCTCTGCTGACTCGGACTGTTGGGAATCATAGTCCAAAATCTCTGGACAGCGTTATGGAGAGTAGGGTGGAGGGTAAGAAAATGTAGCTGGAGAAAGACTGATCTCTACACACATGCAGATGCAGAGTGCATTACATTTATCCTAAAAGGCCTCTTCTAAAGCCAGCAAGAATTTAACTTCCTATTCCGTGTTGGCAGTTATATGCTGAGCCTTACATTTTTAGCTCCTGCAGAGAAAATCCATTGACTAGGGAATGAGGGCTATGGAACTCAGTGCTTAATGGCGGAAGAGTTAAAATCCTCTCTGTTTGGTGGCAATTTGTGGCAGATTAAAGAACCCTGAAAGAGTGCACGAGGGCTCCCAAGGAGATAGAGACAAAGGAATGTGCAGGGTGGTGAGAGCCAGTTGCAAGGGAATGCGAGGAGGGGAGGGGAGGAAGAGCTCGCTGGGTCTCATTACCTAAAGTCTGCAAAGGCAGGAAGGGGAGGAAGACCACCCAGGGCGGTAGCCATTCCTCTCAAGAACAGAGCTGCAAAATCTTGCTGCGGAAGAGACGCTGGCCTTGCAGTGCAACAGAAAATGCCATCGCCTCCCTATGTGGCTTTGCAGTAACCCCCAGGAATGGGAGATAATGCTTTTTTTGGCAGCCGGGGGTGGGTGGGTGGAGTGGGGGCTGTCTGCTTGGTGGTCAGAAGACCGAAACCACAGAATTTGTTGGTGGCACAAAGGACGGTCCTTTGGGAGCCGAAGTTAAAGAGGGCATACAAAGATGAAAGTGGCATGCCCGGGCTTGCCTTGTAAATTTGGCAAGCCTGGTAGGGCTCTTTTGAAGAAACCACAATTGAGGTCATTCCATCCCAAGAGCACATAACTACTGCTGGCATCACTGGAATGCGGACTCCCAGATGTGGGTGACAGCTGGGAGGCCTGGGTGGCAGATCTGGTTTTCCGTCTCTTAGTCTCTCCTCGCCACCGCCACCTCCTTGCTCTGGAATGCTTGCTGCCGTTCTCAGGACTCAACTCTTCAGCCCTGCCCCATGGCTGGAGCAGAGCAAGCATGAAATGCAGAGGTGTGGGAAACAGATACGAATATGTTACATCTGAAAGATCTGCTCCTACAAAATGAAATCAATCCCTTTCAGAAGCTGTTTTCTGTTCTGAAAGTCGTATGTGAAAGCTTTTTTAATTGTTAAAATCCTACTGATCCTAGTCAAATCGCTTGTTTGGGCATTGGCTACAACTGACCCCTGCCATTCATTCCTGCATAAATTAACTACTGGGGGTTCCTATTATGTGTTCCCAAAATGTATTAGAACCATTCCTTTCTGGTCTTTGCATGAATTAAAGCACAGGGTCACATTTGCAGATAAGAAAATGATTTCATATGAGTCTTCAGAAGTCCCAAAACAGATTCCTAAGGGTCTGTGATTCGGCATTTTTCTTCCTTCTATCAATTGGATCCTGAACACCTGTTGATGATCTGGGTCTCAAATCTTGTGATTTCCTCTACTTTGCAACTTTTGCAGCTTTCTGGTTCTAGAGATATAAAAATTTAGGCCCATGTGCCATTGCTAGTTCATGTTAGAGGAGAATCATTGACTCAACTGGATTTAGGCTAGTGTTGACTTACCATTCAGCATTGTTTCAATGGGTCTGTCCTTAGCCGGGATGAGCAATAGAATATTGGCCCCAAAGTGCAACTTCCAATGCAGATATACTGTACCCTGACCTACAGTTTGTGAGTGCTGAGTTACTCCTCCTTGGAAACTTGTAAATGAATAATCCTGTGTTAGTGTCGGTGTGCAGAGGTAGTTGTAGCTGGTTCTTATCTAGCACCAGAAAGATATTGAAGTTTCAGTGTAAGGGAGAGCCTGATGACAAACTCTGGTCATGTGTCAAAACCTATATGTGTAATATTTGTCAAGATAGCACAGTCCTATGCATGCCAAAAGAGAAGTAACACCTGTTCAATGAGACTTATTTTCAACTAAGTGTGGACAAGGTTGCAACCTGGCTCTACTAGTGTGAGTAAGACCTCAGGCTAGAGTCAATGGCATACATTCTGCAGGAGGTATCACTTTTAAAGTGGGTCACAACTGCAGTGCCCAGGATAGCACTAAAGATCAGTGGCAGCCATAAGCCTAACATGTTTGGTACTTGCTTATGGACTGTCATTTGAGCCAGCCATATTAGAGTAGCAGAACTGCTTAGAAATTTCTGAACACCACCAGAGTTTCTTCCTGCATATTGGATGGATGTGATTTTGGATTTCTGTTTGGGGAAGCAGTGGTGTTAGAGTGTATAGTAAAAAAAAAAGAAAAAGAAAAGAAAAGCAATTTGAACATACTCCAAAGTTATATTATTTGAACACACACAGTAAACACACACACAC